AATTGGTGAGTGATGTTAAGATATATTTTCTTTCTGTTATGTAATTGTGTATATCTATAATTATTCTTTAATTTTTAATATACAGTTCACAAATTTATATATTTACCAGTATTCCTGGTGTATGTATATTTCATTTAATTAATAGGTCCAGAGCAACTTGTGGATATGACAGTGGTAGGTATCGAAGGGGGACATTTTTTGCGACCTAGGTGTCCCAAATTCCTACTTGTCTATGTAACTCTGATAAATAATAATTATCTTTGTTATCATTTTCTGTTATGTATATAATGAGTTACATTCAGATAAATGCCATTTTCCACAATTATTATACGGGGATACCATACTCTGGGTCACCGAGGTAGTGCAGGCTGGGTTTATGGTACCCCCTGGATACCTTTCTGGGATCGAGCAGCAACCAAAACACGTCTAGTAGTCATAGAGAAGCGCTAAACCCGTAGGGGTCATCCAGCGCCGGGGGGACAAAGGGGGAAACAATCAGATATGATCTGAGGAAGCGACGGGTAGCTCTAATTCCATGGATCAAGATCCCTTCATTGCGTCAAGGTGCTCCCTAGCAGGTGTAAGAGTACTAAGTATACTGGGCTACTATACTAGGAAGAGTATTCAGGCAATATTAAAATTCACGTATACATGTATATATATATATATATATATATTTAGGCATATTGAACATTTGCAAGATTCTGTATACTTACACTGTTATGTTTGTACACCAAGGCATATATTTACAATACACTTTGCCTACATAAATTAACAATGTACACGTATTGTTGATGAACCATCAAAAGTGCACTGGACACTTATTGGTGAACCGAGGAGATCCTGGTGGAGACAGACATGGTGTAGAAAGAGAATGTATATTTCGATCATCCGTCTGAGATGATCTTAAGTCGTATAAGAGAGGGTGAAAGAGTCTGGGTTTATATAGGGGAAAATCTAAGGTAGTTATATAATATATATATATATATATATATATATATATATAAATATATATATATATATATATATAGATATATATATATATATATATATATATATATATATATATATATTATATATATATATATATATATATATATATATTTAGGGGGTGAGGGGGGAAGCCCAAAGGGCCCCTTAACACGATCTAACAATGAGTATAATAGCTGGACGCCAGGTCCAGACTCACCCTCCTGTACTGCTGAAGATCATTCCAGACGGACGTCGAAATATACCATCTCTTTCTAGTCTTGTGTTTCTCTCTCTTCATGCAGGTTTTCCCATAACACGTAGTAATGAGTTTTATGTCCATCCTAAGAATTTATTCTTTTTATTTTATTAGTCAGGAAACAGGACAAGTGCCTCCTGACACAGGTCTTAGTCGTTTAGACGACCCATAATTACTGATTTCTGCCCCAGGGGCATCAATGTTATATAAGGCTGTTATCACCTTTTTTCTATATTACGAACATATATAAAGCACCGGGCGGCAACAGATGTGAAGCACTATAGCTGCAACAGAGCCATACTATAGGAAAAACAATTACGTATTATTGCAGAAAACCGGTGCAAAAAGCTGGTAAGTTTATTAATATTATGTAGGACGAAGAGGTTTCAAAATAATAGTTTTGTAAAACGGTTTAAAACTGCTAAGGATTATGTAATAAGGATTATGTAAGCATTATATAATAATGGAAATAAGTCACTCTGTCTGATTTTTTTTGGGTTATCCTAAGTACTTTACACATATGCTGTTATATATGATAATCTATGTAGCTGTACTTGTGTAATACCTGAATAAACTTACACAAAACATTTTAAAACTGACCTTCGCTGGAAAAAAGTATCAACCATCCGTGGGTAATTAAGGAGTATTAATGATATTTAAGAATACTGGCATACAGGAAAGTTCAGCCTTATATGACAATGATTGCTTGGGGACTCAACACAGTCTTACAGTTCAATGCAATTTATGGTAGTCTGCCCTTGTGCCATTCTTCTACCGTATTTACAAAATGAGCCACAAGGTAAATTTTCTACCTATAAAACATCAACAGAGAAATGAATACAAGGCTACTGAACACACTAGACATGAATCAGCTAGGGATGGGAAACAATAAGAGTAAACAAGAACTTAAAATTACTCTACATGACTATAAAGTTTGTACAAATATTAACCCTACAGTTTCAATGATTTCTCGTAGACTATACATTTATTTTCTTTACATTAAACAATAGTACATTCTTTGAAATAATGAATGGCTGTGTATATGATGCTGTTTAAGAAGGGAAACTAAGTAACATATGAAGGTTTGGAGAGGTTAGTCTGCTTCCTGATCCAGGTGGCAGTACTCGTAACTATGTAACTTGGATCACCTGATCCAGGTGGCAGTACTCGTAACTATGTAACTTGGATCACCTGATCCAGGTGGAAGTACTCGTAACTATGTAACTTGGATCACCCATCAAGTCCCTATAACAGCCATGTGATAACAATAACATTAATATATGCACATAATCCCCAATCAAACAACTTCAAGGAGAACCTTGAGTTGTCCCTGAAGCAAGTTTATTATTTTCTCTGAGGATGAGGGTCCCCAGGACAGTTCCAGAGGTGCTACCCTCCATATATATGTACACACACACATATATATATTATAATATATATATATATAATATATATATATATATTATACATATATATATATTATATATATATATATATATATATATATATATATATATATTATATATATATATATATATATATATATATATATATATATATATATATATATATATTCTGAAGAAGACAAATACATTTCAGAATGTCAGGAAAATCGCTAAACTAATTTTGTTGATCCTAAAAAATAGATTTTCAATTTTTTTTCCAAAAAATGGCGGAGATCTTTTGGCACTAAGAGCTCATTCATTTTTTTTTTCACTAAGACTATAAATTATCAAAATTACAAATATCCTATCTCTTTGTTTTCAATTTGCAATGCAAGAAAATTTACTATTAATTACTGTTGGACAATGCATTAAGAATGTTGTATGAGTCAATGCAAACTTGAAAGTTTTATTTCGATTTAATACTGTCTCATCTACAGGACGCTTTTCACCCAAAAAATTACGCCCCAGAAAGTGCGACACTAATTAAATTTATTAAGGAAACCATCAGTGTCCCTACGAGGGATTAACAAGAACTTATGTTCTTATAGTGGGTTAAAAAGTACATGGAGCTGGACGTGAGGTAGTGGAAATTACGCAGGAAGTGAAATTTGTGGCGTGAGGCTGATTTATGAGAGATGCTGTGATTTTAGTATCTTATGATGTAATGAGTCTACTATCATTTCCAACTATATGCTTCCAGTATTACCTTCAAGGTATGTAATAATGTTTTGCAAATTACCTACAATATGTTACATAAAAGGACACAAGTGCAACTAATGTAACATTTTATAGTGGCAACGCTTCGCTCTCCAAGAGCTTTGTCAAGTTCCTGGAGAGCGAAACGTTGCCACAGTAAAATGTCGCATTAATTACACCTGTGTCCCTTTACCTAACCTTCAAGGTGAAAAATAAATGTTACTGAGAAGAGGTGATGTTGTAGCCGTGTTATTATTATTATTATTATTATTATTATTATTATTATTATTATTATTATTATTATTATTATTATTCATAAGAGGGCCATAGAGCGCCTGGGGAATGACTGGTAACCAGGTTTGATCCAGAGAAGGGGACAGTAGCTCCAATTACTGGGATTCAGAGCCCTTCGCCAGCATCAAGGCATTCCTCCTTGAAGGGTGAAGTTAGCTAAGTACTGAAATGAGTGAGGAGAGATATAACCAGTGGTGTTTTCTTCGTCAGGAGCAACCAGGGAGGTTGACCCTCATGCTGGTCATATGATGAGCCACCCAAAGGAGTTTTAGGTCATATGACCTATGACCTTGCACTGCCTGAACGGTTAATGAAGATGGAATATCACGTTCTTACTTTTCTTAGCAATTATAATTTTGCAAGAATGAAAATATGCCGTATATTATACGTCAAACTTTCTTATAAACCTCCTGTCTATAGTGTGTTTTTTTTTGGTAAATGTGATTGAAAAACAGCATCCCAAACTACATTATAACGCCTTTATACACATTATTTTTTTAATGCTCTCATATCATCTGTGTAAACTGTGGCTCAAGTCAATGTTTAAACAATGTCTGGTAAGAGAAACATTAAACATTTTTAAGAATATATCTTAACATACCTATATTACTGTACATAACCTATGCTCAAAATAAATAAAAAATAAAAGCAATTCTCTCGAGATTACTAACATGTAGGATTTTTTTTTTTTGGCCCTGTGTACCTTCACTGTTAACATTTATTACATCATGTGTGTACACAAAAGTATGATTATATATGTATATATATATATATATATATATAATATAATACATATAATTATATATATATATATATATATATATATATATATATATATAATATATATATATATATATATATATATATATATATATATATATTATACAAATTTAAAATAGTACATTTACGTATAAATTATTTTTGGAAGCAAAAAAAAAAAAAATATTGTTTTATAACGAGTATCTGCACCACAGATGCATATACGTACATATTATTGCATCCTATAAAATGATGCCGCCCTAACTCATGTCCTTCATAAAAACACATTATAATCCTAATTAACAATGAGTCTCGGTGAGTTCCCATTGTGTAAATTACGGTCAAACTGACTTAGGAATAACCTAGTTTTTGTCAACTTCTAATTAACAAAACTTGTCAACTATCAGTGGAAAAGAGAATTTATGCTTTGTTTACGACTATTTTTGTATATAGAATATGTCTTAATTGTCTGTAAATGTTATTACTGTACTTCCAGGGGAGGAAAATTGCTCAGAAGATTGCGTGAGAAACATTGTGGTTCAAGTTTTTTGCATTGATTTTGTGGTTCCTTGACTGTGTTGTTGTGGCTCTTGATTGTAAGATAGTATTATCACTTATTGTGGCTCTTGATTGTAAGATAGTATTATCACTTATTGTGGCTCTTGATTGTAAGATAGTATTATCACTTATTGTGGCTCTTGATTGTAAGATAGTATTATCACTTATTGTGGCTCTTGATTGTAAGATAGTATTATCACTTATTGTGGCTCTTGATTGTAAGATAGTATTATCACTTATTGTGGCTCTTGATTGTAAGATAGTATTATCACTTATTGTGGCTCTTGATTGTAAGATAGTATTATCACTTATTGTGGCTCTTGATTTTTAGATTACCTTGTGTTATTGTGGCTCTTGATTGTTAGACTACCATTGTTGTGGCTCTTGATTGTTAGACTACCATTGTGTTATTGCGGCTCTTGATTGTTAGCTTACCATTGTGCTATTGTGGCTCTTGATTGTTAAATTGCTATTGTTATTATGGCTCTTGATTGTTAGATAGTATTATCATTTATTGTGGCTCTTGATTGTAAGATAGTATTATCACTTATTGTGGCTCTTGATTTTAAGATAAATTACCATTGTGTTATTGTGGCTCTTGATTTTAAGATAAATTACCATTGTGTTATTGTGGCTCTTGATTGTAAGATAGATTACCATTGTGTTATTGTGGCTCTTGATTGTAAGATAGATTATCATTGTTATTGTGCTCTTGATTGTAAGATAAATTACCATTGTGTTATTGTGCTCTTGATTGTAAGATAGATTACCATTGTGTTATTGTGGCTCTTGATTGTAAGATAGATTACCATTGTGTTATTTTGACTCTTGATTGTAAGATAACATTATCACTGATTGTGAATCTTGACTGTAAGATATAAAATGTTAATGTGAGTTTTTCTCTCCCACCCCTGGTAGGTGTCTATCTACTCCATGAAGATGGCAGGCGAAGTAGACATAATGATTGTAGTGATGGATATAAGAATATCAGCTAACCTTTGTATACATGTCTGAAGTTTGTTTTCAATTTTAAATCATATTGATTACACGAAGGTCATTAAGGCAGCATTTGACCTGTTCACCACCAGTCAAGAATATCTACAATAATTATTAAACTTGCAGCGTATAAACACTGAGAAACCATGGAATAACTAATGTAAATAACTAAAAAGACCCCAATGGGAATAAGTCACTCTGTCTATGTATGATAATCTATGTAACTGTATTTGTGTGTACCTGAATAAACTTACTGTGTATATAGCCTTGGAGTTTTATTTTGGCCTAGCAATTTCATATGCCAACTTTTAAGTAGTTAAAAAGGCCTCTGTTTATGTCTATTATTGCCATACTTTTAATGTTTTTAACATTAACCTTAGGTTTTTGTTTATTTATAAAAAAAAGTGGATCTGAAGATTTTAAAAGTCGTCAGTATTCCTTAACCGTATATCATATTTAGCAAGAAAAGTTGTAGCTTAAAAAACTGGGGACACAAAGCAGTATATACTTAAAGTTACTGTATTTTAATTTCCACTGATAAGTTGTATTTTCAATGAGAGGTAATTTACATAAAAGAAAAACTTCCTTTGTAATTCATTACAAAATTAAATAACTTTCATCTGCAGAGTATATACATGATAAAAATAGTTATTTATATCATAGCAACCATTTAGACTAGTGTCAAAGCCTTTTAGAACGTTTTTTTAATTGTTACAAGTAATAAATAAGGGGGACAATTAATATCAAACATATATGTATGATTTTCCTACTAAAATGGTACCATTAGTGTTTCTCATAGTTCAAGTGTTGCGTAGAAATATATGTGAGGTAAGACGGTAAAGCCTCACCACCGTTAAAAAAAAAAGGCTTATGAGTTATTAATGTACATGTTGTGGGGGAGTGTTAGTAAATTTACAGTAGTGACTGCTGAGGCTGTACATACGTTAAGAACTGTGTGTACAAGTGTAAGATAGAACGAAGTATGAAGTTCTGAGCAGTGGGGTTTAGGCAAGTTCTTCAGCGGAAAGTAATGTGGGCTGGCAGAATTGGCGAGATTCTTAACATACAATATTAAAATGTCTTGAGGATGAGGTCTTGGAAGTAAGAAAAGTCTTGGAGCCTGAGGAAGATGAGCCATTGTTTCTTTAACAGTCTGTTTCATGTTTTCCAAGTAACCAGTACGTGTTCATTCTTCCTTTCCCCTGTGGATGTAAAAAGTCTAGTGAAATTTATGTTTACATTATATTTATTACATTGCATTCATGTATTCCACACACACACACACACAGCCGAAGATAATAATATACTGAACAATACCTTCATGTCGACCTCCCCACGTAACTCGAGGATGAATGATGGGTAGTGTTCAGCTAACATCTTCTGGGTTGTTGGTGATACATGAATCTTCAGCGCTGTGGGAAAGTGATACATTAAATACTAATAATTATGCTTGATTTTAATAACACATGTGCTATAAAATGATGATTTATTTTGCTGTAGAAGTTTAATGTATAATAAACAACACACTAAATCAGAGCCTACAGTTACTGGTGACAGACACACATATTGTAGCACAAGGTTTTATTTGGTTAGCTTCCATCTGTTAGCTTAATATCTTTTCTATTTTCTATGTGCCCAACACCCATGGTGTGGGCGGTGGTCAAAGATTACAGAGGCGCATAATGGGTCTAGGAACTGGACCACAAAGTTAGATCTGGTCACAATCATGACAAGTCATCATTAGTATGATGAAGCTCTACCGTGTCTACACAGCAAGAAGTTAACTCAATAAAAACTTGTTTTTATTGAGTTAACCTGCATCTGTCATCATAGTTATGGGAAGATCACCACTCCACCAGGCTTAAGTTACAAGGAGAAAAATTAGATTATACTGGGATTTCACTTTTTATATCAATGACATGTTGAACCAGAAGCTGGTGTAAAAGTTCCTCACAAGAGAAGAGAAAAGTGGGACTATATTTAAAGTCACAGATTGTCTACCAGATAATATAATATGAAGGCCACTATTTCAAATAATTTTAAATTTGATAGGAAATCTCAAAGTTGGGTAGTTTCTTCCCATCTAGTCTGAGGATTTTTTTCCAAGAATATAATAAAGTTAAACATTATTCTTAATTAGACAACTTCACCATGCACTCTGTCCACAGTGTTTATTGCGTCCTGAGGGAATTATACCTGTAATTTCTGATATTTAAAGCCCGATGACATAGTATGACTCAAGGTGTGTGTGTAATTTACCATAGGCTATAATAAAACACTCACGTTGTCCATTGCTCTCCATACGTGAGGCAGTATTAACAGTGTCGCCAAAGAGACAGTACCGCGGCATCTTGAGTCCCACCACTCCAGCCACACAGGGACCTGTATGCATGCCGATCCTCAGTTTGAGCTTGTCCTCAGGACGGTGTCTAATGGTGAAGGTCTCCACCTCCCTCAGCAGTGCCAGGGACATGCTGGCGATCTCCCGAGTGTGAAGAGTGCCATTCCTCACTGGCAGTCCAGAAACCACCATGTACGCGTCACCAATGGTTTCCACCTGGTGACACCACAACACTTTAGTTAATTTTAAGTGTAATAAGTCCTAACCATAATTTTTAAAGGCGGGTGGGTGGGGGGGGGTAAGCCAGCAGAAGGCCCCGGTCAAATGATCAAGGGCTCCAGCTCCGGGTCATAATATGACTAAGACCCACCAGCGTCAGGAAATACACGTCCTGTTCCCTGACAAACCTGACCTAACCTAATGTAACACTTTAGTTCATACATTAAAAACAGAGCGAGAATACACTGAAATGCTCGTACATACACGAGAATGCAGGTGGAAAAGATTTCGTACTGTAATTTACATGATTTGAATGAAGACATTTTGAGATACAATACCTGGATTTTATCATGACCTGAATACAGTGATTTGTTTCATGTAAATTATACCGTGAAACTTTGTAAGGAATTATCACATTTAATAATGTTATGGTCGAGAGGAATAGTATATATTGTTTATTAAAATAAATTTTAAATGATTATAAAATTAGTGAGGATAAACATTAATAGTGAATAATCATTCCATATTATTCAATTGTGATGAGGATTAGAACCTTACTGAACCTAATTACCTCCCATTAACCAGGTTCCATAAAGCTCGTATGATTTTAGCGCTTCCACACGTATACAACAATAACTATATACGACCTTTTCTTCCGTTCCACTTATTTACAAACGTCCATTGTTAGCAATATCTTCATACAACATCAATTTAATTTTCTAGAATGGAATGCTGTATGACCCTGATGGGTTTAGCGCTTAGTTTTATAATAATAATCTAGAACGGAATAATGTTCAAGGCTGAGAGCGCCAGGACATCATCCAGAACTATAATGGATTACCACTCACTATATTCTCCGGGTCAGTTCTAATTTGTGTCAAGGATCTTTTAATTCAGCTTACCTTATATACGTCAAAATTTTCAATGATGGCATCAAAACGGGTGTAGAGGTCATTTAGCAGGTCAACAACCTGGGGAATATTGAAGAAAGTGAGATCAACTCAGGTCATAATGTAGAGGTCATTTAGCAGGTTAATAACCTGGGGAATATTGAAGTGAGGTCACCTCAGGTCATAATGTAGAGGTCATTTAGCAGGTCAACAACCTGGGGAATATTGAAGAAAGTGAGGTCACCTCAGGTCATAATGTAGAGGTCATTTAGCAGGTCAACAACCTGGGGAATATTGAAGAAAGTGAGGTCACCTCAGGTCATAATGTAGAGGAAAAAAGAAGACAAAAGAAGAAAATGACAAAAAAAAATACAAAGAAGGGAAAGGAGATAAAGACGAGGTAACAGAGAAGACAGAAAAGAGAACGAAGAAGGAAAAGAAGACAAGAAAGGAGACAAAGGAAGAATTATATCGCAGCCTATAACAACTGTTGACTGTTTAAAGCAATGGAGATACAAACATAAATTCATGGATATATATATATTATATATATATATATATATATATATATATATATATATATATATATATATATATATATATATATATATATATATATATATATATATATATATATATATATATATATATATATATATATAATATATATATATAAATAAACATGCTTTATACAATGGTATAGAGTCTAGAATCTCAATATTTATCTTCATACTAGGAGTGATGCGCCTTGTTTCTGTAAGATGATGAATTAGACGTGTGTAACACTGGGCTATCTTTATTATGGGAACGTTTCGCCACACAGCGGCTTCCTCAGTCCAGTAGAGAAGAATGATTGAAATTAGGAGTTTGAGGTAATCAGTCGCTCAGCCTGGAGTCGATGTAATCAATCCTCATCAATCAGTGCGTGAGCTTGCTACCATCTGCAGCTCATAAGACTGCCATCCCCACGAGCCCCTTTGAGGCGGGGTAGATGGCAGACCAGAGGCCTAGCTTCTCCCTACGAGCCCCGTGAGGGCGGGGGATGTGGCTAGGCCTGGGAACACTTGGTCCCAAAGATGAGGAGGTACTTGTACCTCCTCCCATGGGAGACTTAAGTCTCGAGACACTCCCCAGATAGGGAGCCAAGGCCGGGTCACCACTACTTGGAAAAGACCCGGGCCGGGAGAATACCGGCGAACAAATAAAAAAAAAAAAAAAAATCCTCATCAATCTCTTTAAGACTGATCAATCTTTTGAGTCCATCAGTCTTGAGTGATGGACTGATTACATCGACTCCAGGCTGAGGGACTGATTACCTCAGATTACTTCTGATCTTCAACCCTTCTTCTCTGTATTAGACTGATGAAGCCAGCGTGGCGGAACGTTTCCACAATAAAGCTAACCAGGTGTTACACATGTGTGTTACTGATCAACTTGTCGGTTCAATTTATTATATAACAGAAAGAAAAAAAATAGGATTAATTCCATGAGGGATAATTTTGATTATATAAAGCTTCAATGAATAACTATGATAAAAAAAAAAATTTTATTTATGGAATTGCAATATAAATTTTATCTTAATACCCTCACAGCCTAGTGTGGCGAGGTGGCTAAGTGCTTGAAATTTTATCTTTCACATTAATTATAAAATCGCCATGCTCAAGTATAATTTTATAATTTTTTTTTTTAATTTTTCATGCCTAGGGTAATCACATGTATATACATGAGGTGTGTATCTCTCAGGGAATTTACTTTGATCTCTATTTTAGGGACTAAAATAGGCTTGACTGATGGTGAACAGGTGACAAGTAACCTTAATGACCTTCGTATAGCCTGTAGGATTTAATGTACCAAGTATCCGTGTACCAGACACAGCCACATACCTGCAGTGGCGTGGACTGTGCTGAGAGAGCAGTGAATCCCACAATATCACTGAAGTAGATGGTGACACAGTCATAAGTCTCTGCCACTACGCTCTTCCCTGCGATCAGTTGACTGGCCACAGACCTGAAACATTTATTTTTATGATCTTACTCACATCCTAAGCAACAACACTGTCACACAGACCACCCCAACATTTTTCTGCCACTATTCGCCCGAGTGTTACTTCGCAGGAATGATTTACAGTACACACATGACTATGGTACTCTTCACTAACTCCAAGGCTGAGGGACTGATTATATCGCTTTTTGTATATAGTTCTACGGTCTTCCCATCATGTCCTGATGCACTGATAAAACTACTGGATGGCGGAACGTCAACAAATAAAGATGCCTAGATATTGCACATGTGTCTTAATTCTTCATGTTGCAGGAGATAGATCAGGATGTTGATCTATCCACTGCACAAGTCATTCAAAGTCTAAATAATACACATATATAATAATACACATATACCCACACACTGGAGGACAATGAAGCTTATCTCATTAACTAGCCCTTAAACTGTCCAAACGTATATCTACGTTTGGACAGTTTAAGGGCTAGTTATTAGTCTCAGTCGGACCGAAACGTCGTTTTAAGATTCCCTCTCCTATGTGCGGGTTATCTGTGTATTGTTCCAGTCACAATACCGAGACTGAAAATTATGTATATATATATATATATATATATATATATATATATATATATATATATATATATATATATATATATATATATATATGTATATATATATATATATATATATATATATATATATATATATATATATATATATATATATATATATATATATATATATATATATATATATATATATATATATATATATATATATATATATATATATAGGCACGGGATGCTTTATACTGATATTAAACTGCATGAAATTCTGGAGGTATCGTTTTTCACGCCCAGAATTTCCCCACTCTCTGTAATTAAATCTAAACGAAAATGAGAACCTGTGTGCACGTCCCATAGTATTTCCCAGCAATGTAAGAGGGACCTCCTTTATATTTTCGACCACGAATACACACAAAAACGTAAAAGGGATGTAAATATTTAAAGCTGTCATACATTTTAGTGTAGTCTACATGTAAATGCAGATTTATTGTGCTTGGCCAAGCAGTTTAAGTAAGGACAATGTTTAGATAGAAAACTATTGATGCGAATTGAGGGTATACTTCGATAGCTTCCTTTCTTGTCTGTCTTATTTCCATCGTGGTCCTTCGGTATATGTTACTAGGTATGATAATTGTTCTTATGTGTACCGATACTTAAATAAACTTACCAACTGTATGTAGAGCTCTATAAAGTCATTGACTAGATAAAGTTCTAGAGGGAAAGGTCGTTACAGTAAAAGCTCGTAAGGCAATGACTCACGAAATCGTAATGACAAAATTGCAAACAGATCATACCACGGACGGGGTTAGAACCCGCGACGGTCTGGAGTTCTGAGACTCTCTGATCGCGGGTTCTATCCCCGTCCGTGGTATGGTTCGTAAGGCAATGTGTGGCTAGAGCTGCTTCGTCTGTCTCAGGTCACTCGTTACATCACCTAATGTTATATGCTACAATGTAGGAATGGTCGTAGCGTATGCTATATCAAGATCCTTTTCATTTATAACTTTAATACATCTTATCTTACACTAGGTAGAGTGAAATTTTGGTACAGTTGACGTATCTAGCACAATTATACGTCAGGACTTCACAGTCAGCGATGTCACTGGTAATATAATTAAATTCTTTTTTTTTTTTTTTTTTTTTTTTTTGCCAGATCAAAATAGAAATCTTCAAGACTGAAACAAACGAGGTTTAATGGGTAGCTGAATTAAACATTAAATATCAAAGGTTCAAGACAGACTACTTGTGGTACGCTAGCATCCACCTTTGATATACCTTTGATGCTTTCCAAGAGTCTTTCTACTGGAGCCCAGCCATGGGCCAGACTCGTCTGGTGGTAGCCTGGTCAACCAGGCTGTTTGCTGCTGGTGGCCCTCTGCCCCACATCCATCACAACCTGGTTGATTTGGCACCTGGTGAAGATATTTGTCCAGTTTCAGGGGTGGAGGGGTAAGCCAGCGGAAGGCCTCGGTCAGATGATCGAAAGCTCCAGGTGTGGGTCATCATATGACTAAGATCCGCGTCAGGAAACACTTGTCCTTTTTCCTGACAAATATTACCTAACCTCTCTTCATATTTTTTTTATCAGTCGTCCCGTTCCCCCCCTCTCTTCAGTGAACTTATCTCTCTCTCTCTCTCTCTCCCTCAATTAATTTTCCTTTATTCCATCCCTCTTTCTCACACATTCTATCGCGCTCGTCCCTCACCTATACTATCACTCCCCATTTTATATTTCCAGCTTTTTCCCATAAAATCTCGTTCCTTCTCCCCTACTCCCTTCCACCACTCTCCCGTACTCCCTTCCACCACTTTCCCGTACTCCCTTCCACCACTCTCCCGTACTCCCTTCCACCACTCTCCCGTACTCCCTTCCACCACTCTCCCGTACTCCCTTCCACCACTCTCCCGTACTCCCTTCCACCACTCTCCCGTACTCCCTTCCACCACTCTCCCGTACTCCCTTCCACCACTCTCCCATACCCCCTCCCACCATTTTCCCCTCTCCTCCCCACCGATTATTGAAGACAAAAGGCAAAGCAGTGACGTCATAGCAAGCATTTGGGAGGGGCTTGAGTAGTAGGCAGTGGGGGTGAGGGTGGTGGGGAGGAGGAGGGGAAGAAGACAGGAGGAGGAGACAGGGGGAATAGGGAAAGGAGAGAGAAGAGAGAAGTGGTAGGGGAGGAATGGGGGAAGAGAGAAGGGAGAGAATGAGGCGTGGTTGGGGAAGAGAGGCGGAGTGAGAGGACTGAGGCCCTACAGCAGTAATACAATCATTCTCGCTCTCCACTCACCTCATAATACAATCATTCTCGCTCTCCACTCACCTCGTAATACAATCATTCTCGCTCTCCACTCACCTCATAATACAATCATTCTCGCTCTCCACTCACCTCGTAATACAATCACCCTCGTTCTCCACTCACCTCGTAATACAATCACCCTCGTTCTCCACTCACCTCATCCAATAACTGCTCATTATGCAACTAAGGATGTAGTAGCGCTGAGTTTTACTTAATAAACATTAACTACACACTTACTTTTACTCATTGCTTGAACACTTCAGGCAGGTACTGTAGTGTTGTCTTACACAGGATATAACGTTCTAACAGGACTGTAGTGTTGTCTTACACAGGATATAACGTTCTAACAGGACTGGAGTGTTGTCTTACACAGGATATAACGTTCTAACAGAACTGGAGTGTTGTCTTACACAGGATATAACGTTCTAACAGGACTGGAGTGTTGTCTTACACAGGATATAACGTTCTAACAGGACTGGAGCGTTGTCTTACACAGGATATAACGTTCTAACAGGACTGGAGCGTTGTCTTACACAGGATATAACGTTCTAACAGGACTGGAGCGTTGTCTTACACAGGATATAACGTTCTAACAGGACTGGAGTGTTGTCTTACACAGGATATAACGTTCTAACAGGACTGGAGCGTTGTCTTACACAGGATATAACGTTCTAACAGAACTGGAGTGTTGTCTTACACAGGATATAACGTTCTAACAGAACTGGAGTGTTGTCTTACACAGGATATAACGTTATAACAGGACTGGAGTGTTGTCTTACACAGGATATAACGTTCTAACAGGACTGGAGTGTTGTCTTACACAGGATATAACGTTCTAACAGGACTGGAGTGTTGTCTTACACAGGATATAACGTTCTAACAGAACTGGAGTGTTGTCTTACACAGGATATAACGTTCTAACAGAACTGGAGTGTTGTCTTACACAGGATATAACGTTCTAACAGAACTGGAGTGTTGTCTTACACAGGATATAACGTTATAACAGGACTGGAGTGTTGTCTTACACAGGATATAACGTTCTAACAGGACTGGAGTGTTGTCTTACACAGGATATAACGTTCTAACAGAACTGGAGTGTTGTCTTACACAGTATATAACGTTCTAACAGAACTGGAGTGTTGTCTTACACAGGATATAACGTTCTAACAGAACTGGAGTGTTGTCTTACACAGGATATAACGTTATAACAGGACTGGAGTGTTGTCTTACACAGGATATAACGTTCTAACAGGACTGGAGTGTTGTCTTACACAGGATATAACGTTCTAACAGGACTGGAGTGTTGTCTTACACAGTATATAACGTTCTAACAGGACTGGAGTGTTGTCTTACACAGGATATAACGTTCTAACAGAACTGGAGTGTTGTCTTACACAGGATATAACGTTCTAACAGAACTGGAGTGTTGTCTTACACAGGATATAACGTTCTAACAGAACTGGAGTGTTGTCTTACACAGGATATAACGTTATAACAGGACTGGAGTGTTGTCTTACACAGGATATAACGTTCTAACAGGACTGGAGTGTTGTCTTACACAGGATATAACGTTCTAACAGAACTGGAGTGTTGTCTTACACAGGATATAACGTTCTAACAGGACTGGAGTGTTGTCTTACACAGGATATAACGTTCTAACAGGACTGGAGTGTTGTCTTACACAGGATATAACGTTCTAACAGGACTGGAGTGTTGTCTTACACAGGATATAACGTTCTAACAGGACTGGAGCGTTGTCTTACACAGGATATAACGTTCTAACAGGACTGGAGTGCTCTAATACATTTTTCCCTCAGGATGCGACCCACAGAAGTCTTCTAACATTCAAACATTTTCGCAATTTTACTGTTTTTCAGTGTCAGGAAATCGAACCCGGGGATCTTGTGACTGTGATGTGAAGATGGGGAGGGGAAAGAGGAAGAGGGGAAGGTGAATGTTGAGCAGGGAAAAGGAAGAGGAAGAGGAGTTGAACTCGATATTCGTTAAAAAAAAGTGTCAGGACTATTCTTAAACGAGTGTAAATGTTTTTGCACTAGAGTGAGGGAGGGCAACCTATTCTAGTGAAGGACTCTGAGGACTTTAAGGACTAAGAGGACCGTGAGGATCAAGAACTAGAAAAGGAAGAGTAAAGTAAATAATTTGATTTTCAGTTAACAGCAACCATAAATGGAAACCAAATTCGACAAGGTCAGGGAAGGTAGAATAGACAACAGTATGTTCCCAGCTAGTTTTAACACTTCGGTCTGTCCAAAGTCATCGGCAAGAAACTTTCTTCTTGGGATGAGCAAGGTGCGCTCTCCTTTAGCTTGGTGGTGAGTGTAGTAGTAGTTTCGAACACCAAGGGTTCCAGACTCGAATCCTGAAGAGAGTGGAATAATCTAGGGTGGAATCCTTGACTTCACAATACAGTTGAAGTCTCCACAACACAGTGGACCAATTATGTACCTCTGTAACCTTTTGACTACCGCCCACAGGATGGGTATGGGGTGCATAATAAACATATTAAACTAACTAAACTAACAGTGGAAGCCTCCACAACACAGTGGAAGACTCCACAACACAGTGGAAGACTCCACAACACAGTGGAAGACTCCACAACACCGTGAAAGACTCCACAACACATTGGAAGACTCCACAACACCGTGGAAGACTCCACAGCACCGTGGAAGACTCCACAACACCGTGGAAGACTCCACAACACATTGGAAGACTCCACAACACATTGGAAGACTCCACAACACCTTGGAAGACTCCACAACATCGTGGAAGACTCCACAACACCGTGGAAGACTCCACAACATCGTGGAAGACTCCACAGCACCGTGGAAGACTCCACAACATCGTGGAAGACTCCACAGCACCGTGGAAGACTCCACAACACCGTGGAAGACTCCACAACATCGTGGAAGACTCCACAACACCGTGGAAGACTCCACAACACCGGAACTTGCCTGTGAATCGACCGACAGATCGTGTTCCTGGAAAACCAGACTCGGGTTTCTCAACATAAGCAGGGTAAATAAACACCTGTTAGGGGTAAGGGAGGGAGGGGGGGGGCAAGCTCACGTTCGTGGATCTCTAAAATTTTCTTTTTTAAGACCTTTTCAATGAAAGCTTTAAAAATTTTAACTGATCAGGCACACGACCTTAAACATACACAAATGCAACATTGAAATTTATATAAAACAAATAGAAATACTAGAGAAATAAAAGAGGAAGAAACTGGATTACAAGAACATACACAGAATTTACACTGCATACAACCTAACGAAGACAAAATATAAACCAGCACTGAGAGAAATTGACGAGAGTTGATCCCGTGATGGCGTTCACACGGGTTCCCGTTCAGTGTCAACATAATATGGCTGGAGACAGCCTGGACTGCTACAATAATACTAAATCTAATCAAATTGTCCATCAGTGAGTCCCTGTGATAATCAGGTTGCTGCATCACTATGGTGACTCTCCTGGCTCGTCTGTGTTGCTAGTGCCAGACAGCCATCACACTGTTACACACACCAGACAGCCGTCACACTGTTACACACACCAGACAGCCGTCACACTGTCACACACACCAGACAGCCATCACACTGTTACACACACCAGACAGCCATCACACTGTTACACACACCAGACAGCCGTCACACTGTTACACACACCAGACAGCCATCACACTGTTACACACACCAGACAGCCGTCACACTGTCACAAACACCAGACAGCCGTCACACTGTTACACACACCAGACAGCCGTCACACTGTTACACACACCAGACAGCCATCACACTGTTACACACACCAGACAGCCATCACACTGTTACACACACCAGACAGCCGTCACACTGTCACAAACACCAGACAGCCGTCACACTGTTACACACACCAGACAGACGTCACACTGTTACACACACACACCAGACAGCCGTCACACTGTTACACACACCAGACAGCCATCACACTGTTACACACACCAGACAGCCATCACACTGTTACACACACCAGACAGCCGTCACACTGTCACAAACACCAGACAGCCGTCACACTGTTACACACACCAGACAGCCGTCACACTGTTACACACACTAGACAGCCGTCACACTGACACACACACCAGACAGCCGTCACACTGTCTCACACACACACCAGACAGACGTCACACTGTTACACACACTAGACAGCCGTCACACTGTCACACACACCAGAGAGCCAACACACTGTTACACACACCAGACAGCCAACACACTGTTACACACACCAGGCAGCCGTCACACTGTCACACACACCAGACAGCCGTCACACTGTCACACACACCAGACAGCCGTCACACTGTCACACACACCAGACAGCCGTCACACTGTCACACACACCAGACAGCCATCACACTGTTACACACACCAGACAGCCATCACACTGTCACACACACCAGACAGCCGTCACACTGTCACACACACCAGACAGCCATCACACTGTCACACACACCAGACAGCCATCACACTGTCACACACACCAGACAGCCATCACACTGCCACACAAACCAGACAGCCATCACATTGTTACACACACCAGACAGCAATCATACTCTCACATACACCAGACAGCCATCACACTGTCACACACACCAGACAGCCATCACACTGTTACACATACCAGACAGCCATCATACTGTCACACACACCAGACAGCCATCACACTGTTACACACACCAGACAGCCATCACATTGTCACACCAGACTGCCATCACACTGTCACACACACCAGACAGCCATCACACTGTTACACACACACCAGACAGCCATCACACTGTCACACACACCAGACAGCCATCACACTGTTACACAAACACCAGACAGCCATCACACTGTCACACACACACCAGACAGCCATCACACTGTCACACACACACACACCAGACAGCCATCACACTGTCACACACAGACACCAGACAGCCATCACACTGTCACACACACACACACCAGACAGCCATCACACTGTTACACACACACCAGACAGCCATCACACTGTCACACACACACCAGACAGCCATCACACTGTTACACACACACCAGACAGCCATCACACTGTCACACACACCAGACAGCCATCACACTGTCACACACACCAGACAGCCATCACACTGTCACACACACCAGACAACCATCACACTGTCACACACACCAGACAGCCGTCACACTGTCACACACACCGGACAGCCATCACACTGTCACACACACCAGACAGCCATCACACTGTTACACCAGACAGCCATCACACTGTCACACACACCAGACAGCCATCACACTGTCACACACACCAGACAGCCGTCACACTGTCACACACACCGGACAGCCGTCACAGTCACACACACCAGACAGCCATCACACTGTTACACCAGACAGCCATCACACTGTCACACACACCAGACAGCCATCACACTGTCACACACACCAGACAGCCATCACACTGTCACATACCCTATGTTCTCAGTCACAGCTGGTAGAGTAGTTCCTCACACCAGCCATCAGGCAGGTGGTTTTACTAACTTGGGGAGGAGCTGGTAGAGTAGTTCCTCACACCAGCCATCAGGCAGGTGGTGTTACTAACTTGGGGAGGAGCTGGTAGAGTAGTTCCTCACACCAGCCATCAGGCAGGTGGTGTTACTTACTTGGGGAGGAGCTGGTAGAGTAGTTCCCCACGCCAGCCTTCAGGCAGGTGGTGTTACTTACTTGGGGAGGAGCTGGTAGAGTAGTTCCCCACGCCAGCCTTCAGGCAGGTGGTGTTACTTACTTGGGGAGGAGCTGGTAGAGTAGTTCCCTACGCCAGCCTTCAGGCAGGTGGTGTTACTTACTTGGGGAGGAGCTGGTAGAGTAGTTCCTCACACCGTCGCTTCTCCTCCAGGTAGTCTGCCGTACGCTCCTGCACCAGCGCTTCCAGATTGTTGGCGTACTGTTCCATACGTGACAACAGGTTGTCCAGGATGTTACCAGACTCGTTGTCCCTGGAAGATAAGATTTTGTGAGGATTTTTAACGCCGGTGGGTTAGCCACCCAGGATAACCCAAGGAAGGCAGTGCGTTAAGTAAACCGAAGACACTCGAGTGTTTGAATAGGACACATGTACAACACCTGGGTGTTGTACAACACCTAGGTGTTGCACATGTTTTTAAATTCATAGGAAAATAAAACATAGGAAAATAAAACATAGGAAAATAAACTCATGACTACGTTTCGGTACGACTCGGACGGAAACGTCGACATAAGTGTCATTCTCCTATGTGTAGGTTATTTGTGTGTAGTAGGTATTGTATGCGCAACACAAGAAGGAGGGAACACTGAAGCAGGGCTACTGGCTCGTGCTAGGCTGCTCTAACTTAGACTCACACACACCAGCTCATGGACCCGTCCATTCTATATTTAAGTTTTTATCCCATTAGAGAGATACTGAATAAGCTGAATAAAGCTTTACACTGAGTAGAACATGATTTGATTAAGCTCTACACAGAGTGAAACATTGCCACAACAAAAGCTTGTTATCCATCTTTGTATCGTTAATAATAATAATAATAATAATAATAATAATAATAATAATAATAATAATAATAATAATAATAATATAATCTTTATTTCTACAAGTACATATACAAGGTATACAGACTATAGCTGACATAAATAACATACTACTATATAGAAAGCCGTTTGTTATGATGAGCATTTCCGCAAATTAGGTCAGTTTTGTCCCAGGATGCGACCCACACCAGTCCATTAACACCCAAGTACTTACTTTTAAATGAGAGAGAGAGAGAGAGAGAGAGAGAGAGAGAGAGAGAGAGAGAGAGAGAGAGAGAGAGAGAGAGAGAGAGAGAGAGAGAGAGAGAGAGAGAGAGAGAGATGATCTTCCAAACGTATCTCAACACCTGAACCCCATTCTCTTCGCTGACGACACGACTTATGTCATCTCTCACCCTAATCTTGCCACCCTCAACACCATTGTTAATGAGGAGCTGATCAAAATATCGACTTGGATGACAGCCAATAAACTTACGCTTAACACTGACAAAACCTACTACATTATGTTTGGTAGCAGAGCAGGAGATGCGCAAATCAACATTAAGATCGACAACACTCTAATTGCCAGGCATAATGAGGGCAAATTCCTAGGCCTATACCTCGACAACAACCTGAACTTCAGCACCCATATCCAACACATACCTGGAGTTTACCTGGAGAGAGTTCCGGGGGTCAACGCCCCCGCGGCCCGGTCTGTGACCAGGCCTCCTGGTGTATCAGAGCCTGATCAACCAGGCTGTTACTGCTGGCTGCACGCAAACCAACGTACGAGCCACTGCCCGGCTGGTCAGGAACCGACTTTAGGTGCTTGTCCAGTGCCAGCTTGAAGACTGCCAGGGGTCTGTTGGTAATCCCCCTTATGTATGCTGGGAGGCAGTTGAACAGTCTCGGGCCCCTGACACTTATTGTATGGTCTCTTAACGTGCTAGTGACACCCCTGCTTTTCATTGGGGGGATGGTGCATCGTCTGCCAAGTCTTTTGTTTTCGTAGTGAGTGATTTTCGTGTGCAAGTTCGGTACTAGTCCCTCTAGGATTTTCCAGGTGTATATAATCATGTATCTCTCCCGCCTGCGTTCCAGGGAATACAGGTTTAGGAGCCTCAAGCGCTCCCAGTAATTGAGGTGTTTTATCTCCGTTATGCGCGCCGTGAAGGTTTTCTGCACATTTTCTAGGTCAGCAATTTCACCTGCCTTGAAAGGTGCTGTTAGTGTGCAGCAATATTCCAGCATAGATAGAACAAGTGACCTGAAGAGTGTCATCATGGGCTTGGCCTCCCTAGTTTTGAAAGTTCTCATTATCCATCCTGTTATTTTTCTAGCAGATGCGATTGATACAATGTTATGGTCCTTGAAGGTGAGATCCTCCGACATGATCACTCCCAGGTCTTTGACGTTGGTGTTTCGCTCTATTTTGTGGCCAGAATTTGTTTTGTACTCTGATAAAGATTTAATTTCCTCGTGTTTACCATATCTGAGTAATTGAAATTTCTCATCGTTGAACTTCATATTGTTTTCTGTAGCCCACTGAAAGATTTGGTTGATGTCCGCCTGGAGCCTTGCAGTGTCTGCAATGGAAGACACTGTCATGCAGATTCGGGTGTCATCTGCAAAGGAAGACACGGTGCTGTGGCTGACATCCTTGTCTATGTCGGATATGAGGATGAGGAACAAGATGGGAGCGAGTACTGTGCCTTGTGGAACAGAGCTTTTCACCGTAGCTGCCTCGGACTTTACTCTGTTGACGACTACTCTCTGTGTTCTGTTAGTGAGGAAATTATAGATCCATCGACCGACTTTTCCTGTTATTCCTTTAGCACGCATTTTGTGCGCTATTACGCCATGGTCACACTTGTCGAAGGCTTTTGCAAAGTCTGTATATATTACATCTGCATTCTTTTTGTCTTCTAGTGCATCTAGGACCTTGTCGTAGTGATCCAATAGTTGAGACAGACAGGAACGACCTGTTCTAAACCCATGTTGCCCTGGGATATGTAACTGATGGGTTTCTAGATGGGTGGTGATCTTGCTTCTTAGGACCCTTTCAAAGATTTTTATGATATGGGATGTTAGTGCTATCGGTCTGTAGTTCTTTGCTGTTGCTTTACTGCCCCCTTTGTGGAGTGGGGCTATGTTTGTTGTTTTTAGTAACTGTGGGACGACCCCCGTGTCCATGCTCCCTCTCCATAGGATGGAAAAGGCTCGTGATAGAGGCTTCATGCAGTTCTTGATGAACACGGAGTTCCATGAGTCTGGCCCTGGGGCAGAGTGCATGGGCATGTCATTTATCGCCTGTTCGAAGTCATTTGGCGTCAGGATAACATCGGATAGGCTTGTGTTAACCAAATTCTGTGGCTCTCTCATAAAAAAATCATTTTGATCTTCGACTCTCAGTCTGGTTAGCGGCTTGCTAAAAACTGAGTCATATTGGGACTTGAGTAGCTCACTCATTTCCTTGCTGTTATCTGTGTAGGACCCATCCAAAGTATCCAAAACGGTTGGGATCCTCTCCAAGATACGATACTACGTGCCGCAAACTGCCCTTCTCACACTATACCATTCATTTATATATCCATACCTCACCTATGCTATCTGCGCTTGGGGTTCAACTGCAGCAACACACCTAAAGCCAATAATAACCCAACAAAAAGCCGCAGTAAGAATAATCACTAAATCCCATCCCTGGCAACACACCCCCCACTCTTCATAGATCTAAACTTACTCCTTGTTCAGTACATCCACACTTACTACTGTGCAATCTATATCTACAGGACCTTAAATTCCAATATTAATCTTGACCTAAAACGCTTTCTTGATAGTTGTGACAGAACCCACAGGCACAACACCAGACACAAACATCTCTATGACATTCCCCGTGTCCGACTAATCCTTTACAAAAATTCAATGTATGTCAAAGGCCCTAAAATCTGGAACACCCTACCTGAAAATTCTAAAACTGCAGACACATTCATCACCTTCAAAACTACCATCAGAAAACGTCTTATCTCCCTGATACACCCTGTCAACTAATTACACGAATGCCACCTGGTGGTTAACACTTACACTCACTCACCCATTTGACCATAAACAGAAATATCAATCTCAATCTCAAAATAATGAATCTTAACTAGTCATAAGTTGGCCTGTGATACACCAATACTGAAACTATGTATTGTGCCAAAACAAAAGCATTGGCATTGCTAAACTCACAAACTAGTATTTAGTCACTTAGCCATAATACCAACTTACCTCATAATTTTGTAATATTTTAAACTTAAGATTTAATCTAAGTCTGCCCGAAATGCCTAGCCATGCTAGGTGTCCTAGTGGTACACTCTGTAGTTATTATTTTACTACATGTAAACCACACAATAACCAAATTCTGTAAACTCAGCATTGTAATCCTTATAGAGAATAAACTTTGAATTGAATTGAATTGAATTGAGAGAGAGAAAGAGAGAGAGAGAGAAAGTGAAAGGTAATAAAGCCTTGGGCAAACGCGAGGAGACGAAATCTTTCTTGCACAGAAGGGTAAAGCAGGAACTATATGTATATATATGCAGACCTAAAATGTGTCTGCCGAATGGAGTATTCAGCACCTCACTCATGCAAATCAGAGGAGGACAACGCGGCCAGCATAAAAATGTCCCACAAACCACTGTCTGAGGGAATATTTTGTGTACCAGCCCAGGCACACACACACACACACACACACACACACACACACACACACACACACACACACACACACACACACACACACACACACACGAGAACACGGAAAAAATACCCACGGACCTGAAGATTTTTCAAGACTGGTCACAGTTGTGGCTGTTACAATTCAACCCCCGGCAAATGCAAGGTTTTGAAGACTGGGGAAGGGAGGTAAGAAGACCGGAAACTGGATGTAGACTTGGGCTGAAGACAGATGTTGTAGACTTCACTCAGTGAGAAAGAGTTAGGGGAGAACACAGCGCCGAGCATATCTCCAGAACCCTACATCAACCGAGTAACTCCTGAAGCCAGAGCTTCATCACCATCCTCACAAGTAACACCATAAACCACCACAACAACACACAATAAACAGTAATAAAATCCTTCACTTACGAACAAGAAAAAAAAGTGATTGTTTTGCATATATATATATATATATATATATATATATATATATATATATATATATATATATATATATATATATATATATATATATATATATATATACATATATATATATATATATATATATATATATATATATATATATATATATATATATATATATATATATATATATATATATATATATATATATATATATATATATATATATATGCAAAACAACCACTCTGAAAGAATAGAGAAATTCTAAGCGCTTTCGTGACTACTCACATTATCAAGGAACTATGAAATCACCTGTTTACTGTGATCTTATTGCATATATATATATATATATATATATATATATATATATATATATATATATATATATATATATATATATATATATATATATATATATATATATATATATATATATATATATGCAAAACAACCACTCTGAAAGAATAGAGAAATTCTAAGCGCTTTCGTGACTACTCACATTATCAAGGAACTATGAAATCACCTGTTTACTGTGATCTTATTGCATATATATATATATATATATATATATATATATATATATATATATTTATATATATATATATATTATATATAAGGCTAAAGAGGTTTTTGTGGCATTTATGGATTTGGAAAAGGCGTAGGACAGGGTGGATAGGGGGGTAATGTGGCAGATGTTGCAGGTGTATGGTGTAGGAGGTAGGTTACTGAAAGCAGTGAAGAGTTTTAACGAGGATAGTGAGGCTCAAGTTAGAGTATGTAGGAAAGAGGGAGATTATTTCCCAGTAAAAGTAGGCCTTAGACAGTGATGTGTGATGCCACCGTGGTTGTTTAATATATTTATAGATGGGGTTGTAAGAGAAGTAAATGCGAGGGTCTTGGCAAGAGGCGTGGAGTTAAAAGATAAAGAATCACACATAAAGTGGGAGTTGTCACAGCTGCTCTTTGCTGATGACACTGTGCTCTTGGGAGATTCTGAAGAGAAGTTGCAGAGGTTGGTGGATGAATTCGGTAGGGTATGTAAAAGAAGAAAATTAAAAGTGAATACAGGAGAGTAAGGTTATGAGGATAACAAAAAGATCAGGTGATGAAAGATTGGATATCAGATTGGAGGGAGAGAGTATGGAGGAGGTTAATGTATTCAGATATTTGGGAGTGGACGTGTCAGCGGATGGGTCTATGAAAGATGAGGTGAATCATAGAATTGATGAGGGGAAAAGGGTGAGCGGTGCAATTAGGAGTCTGTGGAGACAAAGAACTTTGTCCTTTGAGGCAAAGAGGGGAATGTATGAGAGTATAGTTTTACCAACGCTCTTATATGGGTGTGAAGCATGGGTGATGAATGTTGCAGCGAGGAGAAGGCTGGAAGCAGTGGAGATGTCATGTCTGAGGGCAATGTGTGGTGTGAATATAATGCAGAGAATTCGTAGTTTGGAAGTTAGGAGGAGGTGCGGGATTACCAAAACTGTTGTCCAGAGGGCTGAGGAAGGGTTGTTGAGGTGGTTCGGACATGTAGAGAGAATGGAGCGAAACAGAATGACTTCAAGAGTGTATCAGTCTGTAGTGGAAGGAAGGCGGGGTAGGGGTCGGCCTAGGAAAGGTTGGAGGGAGGGGGTAAAGGAGGTTTTGTGTGCGAGGGGCTTGGACTTCCAGCGGGCATGCGTGAGCATGTTTGATAGGAGTGAATGGAGACAAATGGTTTTTAATACTTGACGTGCTGTTGGAGTATGAGCAAAGTAACATTTACGAAGGGATTCAGGGAAACCGGCAGGCCGGACTTGAGTCCTTGAGATGGGAAGTACAGTGCCTGCACTCTGAAGGAGGGGTGTTAATGTTGCAATTTAAAAACTGTAGTGTAAAGCACCCTTCTGGCAAGACAGTGATGGAGTGAATGATGGTTTTTCTTTTTCGGGCCACCCTGCCTTGGTGGGAATCAGCCAGTGTGCTAATATATATATATATATATATATATATATATATATATATATATATATATATATATATATATATATGTATATATATATATATATATATATATATATATATATATATATATATATATATATATATATATATACATACATACATTCATATATGAACAATGAGGCCCAAAAGCCCGCACATGTGAACAATAAAAACGCAAAAACTCTCCACAGATGAACAATAGGAGCAACAAAACTCCACATATAAAAAAGCTCCATACATACATGAACAAAAGCTGTACACATAACCTAAGTTGCGGGAAATATTCTGCATAACCCGGAGTTTTCCATATCACTGGTGTCAGCTATGGTCTGTATAAGTTATATCATGTACGTGTAGTAATAATGATTATTATTATTATTAGTTATTATTATTATTATTATAACACAGGAACACAGGCTAACATACGTCTCATTAATAAACCAACAACACTGCCAGAAGAAAAACTGCAAATTCTGTAAACTTAAAATTCTCTCTAAATGAAAATCAGGGTTTCTTAAAATGAGAAAATTGAGCCAAACTTGCACAGTCTTCACTCTTACCAACTTACAAATTGTGTTGCTGCCGCTCGTTCCCTTGTGGGTTGTACCAGCGAGAGACACGAGTTAGGGAGTATCCGCTGGTTAAGTTAGGTAAGGTTCGTCAGGAAACAGGACAAGTGTTTCCTGACGCGGGTCTTAGTCCGCGTTATTTATTTTCTTTACTGCAAGGCTGCTCTGTAAGTTATGTACCATACAGTGGCTGACCTACATTTTTGGGGCCCTGAAGCTTGAACTGTTATGGGGGGCCCCCCCTTCGCAACCCCTTATCATACAGTACACCTAAAATTCTTAAACAATGTGGATTAAAGTATTTTCTAAGGTCCCTCCAGAATTAGGGGCCCAAAAGCTTAAGCTTCATTAGTTTCATAGTACTTCCGCCTCTGATGCCATAACTTCAGCTCACACACCAACCCACAAACTTCACCTGCTCGCGAAGTCACTTCAAACACATCCCAGGAAACTCAGGCGCACACCAACGTATGTGTGTGTGTATTCACCTATTTGTGGTTGCAGGGGTCGAGACTCAGCTCCTGGCGGCGTAGTGTGTGGTGTGTGTGTGTGTGTGTCAAGTGGACTAGCAAACATGTTAACAACGTTTGCCTTTAACGGGGCTCTCACATTTTCCAAAATTAGCGAAAGGTGTAAAATAATGGGGAAAAAGTATATCTGGCTTTTACCAATTAGCGGTAATTGAGTAATCCTATTCAAGTCACCCTGATCCAGTGGCGGGGTGAAGTTTGCCAAGGCTGAGAGTAAGGAATATTTTATAGGCAATCTCAACACGAGCGACACCCAGAGTGCACAGGTTGTGTGAACCTCACACTCTGCCTTCTACTTTGTCTTCCACTAAGGTTGAGGGACTGATTACCTCACACTACCTATCTACTTTGTCTTCCACTAAGGTTGAGGGACTGATTACCTCACACTACCTATCTACTTTGTCTTCCACTAAGGTTGAGGGACTGATTACCTTACACTACCTCTCCACTTTCCATACTTCGTCTTTCACTAAGGATAGGGACCGATTACCTCACACTACCTTCCTACCTCGTTTACTGTCTCCATGAGTGTAATTAATCTCTGTATTCGACTGACGAAGCCTACGTAGCACATGAAACGTTTCGTCAATAAAGATTCCTAGTATCATAGCATCAATGGTATATAATACCCACAAGCTGAAGAATTAGACAGTAACAACTGGGTATCTTTATTCTGTAGATGTTTCGCCCACCAGTGGCTTGATCAATACACTCCAGGGACAAAAAAAAAACAAAGAAAAAAAAAAACAGTAGACTGAGGTAATCAGTCCCTAAGTTTAGCTCTATGGAGCTGAACACTTCTCCAGGCTGAGGGACTGACCATATCAAATACTTTTCCTCCAAGGTTGATGGACTGATTACATCATTATATCATTTCATCTGCTCCCTTTGTATTTGACTGAAAAAGCCTACCGTGTAGACGAAACGTTTTATCAGTAAAGATATCCAACTGTTGCACATGTGTCTGAATCATCAACTTGTCGGTATTTTATAATATTTTCAACATCCGTAGCGTTGCACGAGCGTCTTGCACCTCACCACAGTTCCGGCACAACTAAGGGAAAGACCCGTGTCAGTGGGATTTACAACTGACGGAGAGAGTAAGAGGTGACTCAGAGGGACCTACTTGTTGAGTCTTCGTATGATGGTCTTGAGTTGCTGGAAGTCAGGTCTTTCCATACACTCCTCGGCCCAACATTTCTTCATCATCTGCATCACCTCCTCCTCCGCCGCTGCCTCGTCTTCCGTGCTCGGCCGGAACGCTGGATGCCCGCCGTTCTTCACGTTCTCCACGATTTTCTGTTGGGCAGACAACATCCTGGGTGAGAATATCGTCAATTCATTCACAGGGAAGCACTAAACTCACAGGGGTGATGCAGCAAACATGTCTCATTCAAAGAAGAAGGGGATTTTAATATTATTTCACCAAAATCTCTTGAAAAAAAAAATTGATCATGTTCACTGTATCAGTGTGTGTGTGTGTGTGTGTGTGTGTGTGTGTGCGAGAAAAATATATATTTATAGACACGACATACCCACATAACTATAATAAAAATATAATTACTCAAACTACTTCTACTACTTCTAATAATAATACTCATAAATATTTAATTCCTCACAATAGTGATGGTATTTTATGTCAGGAGAAACTAAAATAATTCCTCCTGACTCTGGTCTTAGTCCTGTGATGGCACACTCCGAGGTGATTTCGACTCTTACCCAAGTTTTCCGCTGGCCCCCTCGTTTACTCCGTAAAAAAACAAGAGCTATCACAGAGGGCAGAGCCTGACACCGACACTCATACCAACTCTCACTACACATTAGTTATACTCGTAGTGCTTGGCTAGGCTGTTGGGTTTACAGCTTCTGGAGCACAGGAGAGTCTTTGAGGTTGTATTTTTCAAATTCAAATTCAAATTCAAAGTTTATTCTCTATAAGGATTACAATGCTGAGTTTACAGAATTTGGTTATTGTGTGGTTTACATGTAGTAAAATACTAATTACAGAGTGTACCACTAGAACACCTAGCATGGCTAGGCATTTCGGGCAGACTTAGATTAATTCTTAAATTTAAAATATTACAAATTATGAGGTAAGTTGGTATTATGGCTAAGTGACTAAATACTAGTTTGTGAGTTTAGCAATGTGAATGCTTTTGTTTTGGCACAGTATATAGTTTTACCTCTACATCACCAATGAAGAGAGTTTTAATAACTAAAATGAAGATTAAAGTGAATTCTAAGCATATAAACTATACCACGGGTGGGGTTAGAACCCGCGATCAGAGAGTCTCAGAACTCCAGACCGTCGCGTTAGCCACTGGGCCAGCTAGCTATAATATAGTTCATCCAACTAGGTATATTTCTATAACATAGGAAGGTGTAGAAATATACCTAGTTGCATGAATGCTGTTGAAGCTAGCTGGTCCAGTGGCTAACGCGAAGGTCTGGAGTTTTGAGACTCTCTGATCGCGGGTTCTAACCCCGCCCCTGGAATGGTTTTTTCATTAAAGCCGCCATGTGATCTGTTCACTATTTAAGGATACCTTAGGTAAAAAATGTTAATATTAGTACAATCTTTAATGTGTATACAGGGTAACCCGCAATACAGAACACACAATTTAGGCAACGAGTAAACTTGCTTTCACTCTAGAGCAGGATTCCAGCAGCAGCGTTTGTTATTCTTTGGATCAAGCCAGGGATAACCATCTGTTTTCTTGCGGTTCAGGCTTTTAGGTGGAGGAGAATTGTGTGTTTTCGCTTGGGTCGGCCCTTCAGGTGTATTGATGGCTTCCGCTGAGATAATGCTTCCACCAGGTTAGAGTAGTTATTTATCTGTATGGCCAGAATTTATGCGATGGATAAATGGTTATTTTCATCTATGCCAAGCCTCCTTCTCCAGACTATCACCATAACATTCACCCGGGACCATCTTACCTCTTCTTCCTAAACGTGTACATGGTTCACGGAACGTAAGAGAGGAGTATTATAGCCCCAAAGGAAAGCTGTGTTGTAGTATGATTAAATTTAGGTTTGGTAGGATGTAAATGTCATACTGCCGACAACAGTTACAGAAAAAAATTGTATTCTAGAAATATATACATATTTTCTCCGCTGGATTATAGACTACCTGTCCAGCAAAAAGTCTGTGTTGTTTCAAAGGCAAAGAAGAATAAGTGAAGACCTTAACTGACACCATCGGATTCTCCGGCACCCGAGAAACAATCGCTGCAGTATGTGCTAGACTTGTGTCAGGACCTGGGTGGATTATTTTCACTGTGAAACGAAGATACTGTAGCAGGTGTCCTCCGCTATTCAGAGGCGCAGTCCACAAGATCGTGTTTCCTGATGGTCTCGGTTGGAATACGTGACCATAATATGTCTTTGTCGCTTTTGTATCAGATATCAAGCGTGGAGGACTTGAATTTTTTTTAAAACAAAGTAATGACGATTGTCCAAAAATATTCACGTGCGTACTACCAAATTACTAAACTTGCTGTTAAAGAAGTTGATATTCCAAGCATCCGAGATCGTGTAACTGAAATAAACGTCATCACGGATGGTAATATGTTCAGAAAAACCACCCAAAACCTTGTTCAGAAGCCTTCCAAAATTTCTTCACCATAAATAAGCACTCCAGACAGAAATTAAAAACTGAAACTGATCTGCGAATGAATAAAATGAACGGTGTGCGTCAAGACGACAGCGACACCTCTCTGCATCATGGAAAATTACCTCCTTCCAGGTCACCATCTCTCACTTTCTTTCCCATAGGACCTCATCAGATCACAATCAGGGCTTTGTTTTGAAGCTAAGCAGGATGCCTTAAGTTATACCGATGCCTTAGTCACACAACGCTCTCTTCCACAAATTATGTACGTTGATTCTGTTCAGCTGGTGTCGTTGTTGTCAGAGCAATGGCTCCTGCAGAGCAATTGAAGCAAGCATCAATAATTGAAGCAAGCATCAATAATTGAAGCATCAATAATTGAAGCAAGCATCAATAATTGAAGCAAGCATCAATAATTGAAGCAAGCATCAATAATTGAAGCAAGCATCAATAATTGAAGCAAGCATCAATAATTGAAGCAAGCATCAATAATTGAAGAAAGCATCAATAATTGAAGCAAGCATCAATAATTGAAGCAAGCATCAATAATTGAAGCAAGCATCAATAATTGAAGCAAGCATCAATAATTGAAGCATCAATAATTGAAGCAAGCATCAATAATTGAAGCAAGCATCAATAATTGAAGCAAGCATCAATAATTGAAGCAAGCATCAATAATTGAAGCAAGCATCAATAATTGAAGCAAGCATCAATAATTGAAGCAAGCATCAATAATTGAAGCAAGCATCAATAATTGAAGCAAGCATCAATAATTGAAGCAAGCATCAATAATTGAAGCAAGCATCAATAATTGAAGCAAGCATCAATAATTGAAGCAAGCATCAATATTGAAGCAAGCATCAATAATTGAAGCAAGCATCAATAATTGAAGCAAAGCATCATAATTGAAGCAAGCATCAATAATTGAAGCAAGCATCAATAATTGAAGCAAGCATCAATAATTGAAGCATCAATAATTGAAGCAAGCATCAATAATTGAAGCAAGCATCAATAATTGAAGCATCAATAATTGAAGCAAGCATCAATAATTGAAGCAAGCATCAATAATTGAAGCAAGCATCAATAATTAAGCTTCCAGCCTTCAAACTGAAGTGTTTACTATATATATATATATATATATATATATATATATATATATATATATATATATATATATATATATATATATGTGTGTGTGTGTGTGTATGTGTGTGTGTGTATGTGTGTGTGTGTGTATGTGTGTGTGTGTATGTGTGTGTGTGTGTGTGTGTGTGTGTGTGTGTGTGTGTGTGTGTGTGTGTGTGTGTGTGTGTGTGTTGTGTGGTGTGTGTGTGTGTACTCACCTAGTTGTACTCACCTAGTTGAGGTTGCGGGGGTCGAGTCCAAGCTCCTGGCCCCGCCTCTTCACTGATCGCTACTAGGTCACTCTCCCTGAGCCGTGAGCTTTATCATACCTCTGCTTAAAGCTATGTATGGATCTGCCTCCACTACATCGCTTCCCAAACTATTCCACTTACTGACTACTCTGTGGCTGAAGAAATACTTCCTAACATCCCTGTGATTCATCTGTGTCTTCAGCTTCCAACTGTGTCCCCTTGTTACTGTGTCCAATCTCTGGAACATCTGTCTTTGTCCACCTTGTCAATTCCTCTCAGTATTTTGTATGTCGTTATCATGTCCCCCCTATCTCTCCTGTCCTCCAGTGTCGTCAGGTTGATTTCCCTTAACCTCTCCTCGTAGGACATACCTCTTAGCTCTGGGACTAATCTTGTTGCAAACCTTTGCACTTTCTCTAGTTTCTTCACGTGCTTGGCTAGGTGTGGGTTCCAAACTGGTGCCGCATACTCCAATATGGGCCTAAGGTACACGGTGTACAGGGTTCTGAATGATTCCTTATTAAGATGTCGGAATGCTGTTCTGAGGTTTGCTAGGTGCCCATATGCTGCAGCAGTTATTTGGTTGATGTGCGCTTCAGGAGATGTGCCTGGTGTTATACTCACCCCAAGATCTTTTTCCTTGAGTGAGGTTTGTAGTCTCTGACCCCCTAGACTGTACTACGTCTGCGGCCTTCTTTGCCCTTCCCCAATCTTCATGACTTTGCACTTGGTGGGATTGAACTCCAGGAGCCAATTGCTGGACCAGGTCTGCAGCCTGTCCAGATCCCTTTGTAGTTCTGCCTGGTCTTCGATCGAGTGAATTCTTCTCATCAACTTCACGTCATCTGCAAACAGGAACACCTCAGAGTCTATTCCTTCCGTCATGTCGTTCACAAATACCAGAAACAGCACTGGTCATAGGACTGACCCCTGTGTGTGAGTGTGTGTGTGTGTGTGTGTGTGTGTGTGTGTGTGTGTGTGTGTGTGTGTGTGTGTGTGTGTGTGTGTGTGTGTGTGTGTGTGTGTGTGTGTGTATGTGTGTGTGCATGTGTGTGTGTATGTGTGTGTGTGTGTGTGTGTGTGTGTGTGTGTGTGTGTGTGTGTGTGTATGTGTGTGTGTATGTGTGTGTGTGTGTGTGTGTGTGTGTGTGTGTGTATGTGTGTGTGTGTGTGTGTGTGTGTGTGTGTGTATGTGTGTGTGTGTGTGTGTGTGTTGTGTGTGTGTGTGTGTGTGTGTGTAGTGTGTGTGTATGTGTGGGTGTGTGTGTGTATGTGTGTGTGTGTGTGTGTGTTTGTGTGTGTGTGTGTGTA